CTTGTGACATTACAAAAAAATATGGGAACATGTATGTATAGATCTAAAATAATGCTCTCTTAAATATTTTCTACATGCACTAAACATGTTTCATTAAGTTTCATGTACATTTGTATTAAACATGGACCATTGTTCATTTAAAAAGGCTTTTTATGCTATTGTATGCTAAAATGTAACTAATTTAGACGTGCAAATTGGGTGCTAGTGTGATGAGAAGTTTGCGCTCGGCTTTGTTTTTGAGAGAACATTTCATTTTAAAACCTTTCTGCAGGCCAGTAGAATATTATTTAGTGTACATGAGTGGGGTCAAGTTAAACATTTTAGTTTGAATTTTATTTTATACTGTGCATTGTGCTAAATAACTATTTGCACAATTTGTAATTGATTTATTCTTTGAAAATGTTATATTAATTTATGCAATTGCAATGCCTTGATTTTAGTAAAGTTTGTACACAGTCATAGCCATAAATGCAATGATACTAATAATTGGAGATCATTTCTTTCGGTGTTTCGGTTTTCGGCCTTGGTTTCCTCTTTTTCGGTGTTCGGTTTCGGCCAAGAATTTTCATTTCGGTGCATCCCTAGTGGTTTTAATGGACCAAAGCTAGCAAAGACTTTCTGGGTTGCAGCATAAATACCTGTAATATATGAACTATCATTGGACCACTACTTAGATTAGAGTATCATAATAAGCTAATACAGATTTTTCGTTATCAAAGTTTATAGTTGTAACAAAAATCAGAAATCTCACACTCCTTACCTTCTGTATTTTATAATAATTTCCTTTTCCTCAGTCGAGCGTTTACTCTCATCTAACCGCTGAAAAGACGTAGGAAGGAGCACGCTGTTTCGTGAGACATTTAAATTTTTATATGCCTTAATTCGTGAGTTCGTAATTGGCGCGTTTCACCATCAGTGTGCAATGCGCGTGACGTCTACGTTCGTCAATAAATAAACTGCATGTCAGAACACTGTAGCCGGAGCTACTTCTCTCCATTAATGTCTCGCGAGTCACGCAGGCACTGGGCAACTCCGCATCCGAGACCCGGGATAAAATAGTCCGAATATAAACACTTATTATAGGCGTACCGTAGTGATTCAGGATAAGTCGAAAACACAGTTTGGAAAATGGATTCATGATGTAGCCTACTCGTTCATTCTGAACATAAGTTACGGACTCCAGCAGCTGATACAATGCCGTTCTGTAGCGCGAGCGTCCACTCGCACATATGCGACCACATAAAATTTTAACTCGCACATTCTCAAAAAATGGTCGCAGTCTGGAACCCTGTCAAGTTATAGAGAGTTTGAAAAGTAAAATAGTAATTTAAGACACTTCATTCAACAACAACGGCTTGTTCCTCACAAGATTTTGTCATTTCTATATCATTGCACATGCGCAGTAGGGATATCATTATTTGCGTTATACCAGTAAAAATTAGTATTAGTCTTTTAAGATAATCTTTTAAGATATCTCTTCCAGCGATAATAACCATAAATCCTAGTTGACGTATTTCTGTGTGGGACCCATTCGCATTTCTCCCCTTCAGTTCCCCTTCCAGACAACACATACATTTACAGTATTTTATTTATTTTTTTGTTACATTTCATTTAGTTGTTTTCTGTCGGTCTTCATGGGTAAAAGTTGCATCGGCTGACCGAATATACAGTAACTGAGCCGTGCCAGTAGCCAACGAGTCCATTTTGGTTTCTGGTATCTTTTGACATAAAGGTAATGTGTTTACATTATGGTTTTATAGTGTAGTGACTGTCCAAAGAAGGGATATGTAAGTGCTTTATGTGTATGTGTATTTCTTGAATGTTCATATCAGTGACGTAGCGTCTGGTCATGCAGGGTATGCACGTGCATATGGGCCCGGGCCGATAGGGGGCCCGCTCATGGAGAATTTTTTATTAAAACCAGGTAATTAATTTTTAAAGTGTAGCCACAATAAATATATTTTTGTATGCATGTCATGATATATTTCTATAGCGTTTTATTTTTATAGGAGTTAGTCATTATTTCGACCTCTGTATCTGTCCATGGAATAGGGGCTAATGGGTGAATATGGCATGAATAAGTATCTACATTTGCATAATAAGCACATTAGGCTATTCGTTCTGTGTTTTCTTTCTAAACAGTTAGTATGTTTAGATGGTATTTTTCATGTTTTTATCACGCAATCATGTTTTTGATGCGGTGGTGACACTTGTTAAATGTAGTGGTGTGTTCACACAAATAGAGCGTCAAATACGCATCTAGTTAGACGCTTGAACATTAACTCGAATTTAAATTTTTCAACTTGCGCGGAAGACATGCGCTGCAAACGCATCGCCCAATTCGCGTCATTCACAACGCCCGGCGCGAATGATGCGTCTATTCGAGTCTTTGCATTGACTTTGTATGTAATTAAATTCGCGAAGGGGGGCCCTACCATTTTATTTTGCATATGGGCCCAGGGCTGACTTGCTACGCCACTGGTTCATATATTTTGTCTTGGTGGACTAGATCTGTAAGATATGTTTCTGCTGCATGAATAGACATACATAAATCCCGTAGCAGGTCTAGGCAGGCGGAGCTGGGGACGTGGAGGGGTTCAGAGCAACTCTGACAGCCTACAGCGAACTCTAAACCAGACTATTTAAACGTTGAGCAAGCAATCTCATTAGCTATCAGTCTACACCATCTAGAGTTTCATGACTGAACTAGATATTTCATCTTATCACCCTTGTGCTATTTGTTTTGCATGAATCACCATGGCTAAAACATCACATGTGCCAAGTCATTAATTACTGAGGTGGACTAACACCAGTACACGAATTCAACTGCCAAACACTCAACACTCAAACTGCCATCACACCCTTACACATGTTGTATGTCTGCCTCATCTAACACACCTGACTGAACTCATTAGCTCCCTCATCTAACACACCTGACTGAAGTCATTAGCTCATCACTACAGACTTCAAGTCCTCGATCAGGGAAAGTGTTTGGGATGCTTGAGAAGCACTGGGTTAGGGTTATTCTAGTTTGACAACAATTTTCATCCAGGACCAGCACAATATGTTGATCAAGCCTGTGTTCAATGTGATTAATACACATCTGGGCTAATGCTCACACTCTGCAGCTTAAAGGTTTACAGGCATTCCTGATGTCCGTGTGCCAGGATGTGTCTCGGTGTGTCAGGATGTGGAGCAAGAGTTCCACTCTTCCTTCCTGACTGATGAGCAGACACATACGCAGAAAAATACTCCCATCCATCTACTATGACATCGAAGCACCCTAGGGAAACCGCCACACCTTCCTCTTATCTCTCTTCAGAAGAGTACGGATTGCTTCTGAGAATATTGCTTTGCATACAATATCTCATATTGTAACAATTCAGTATTTATTATTGTGCAAATGTATAGGTTTAGTCGCATTTATTATTGTTTAGAGTCCCGCAGATTTCACATCGGGTTCAAACATTATGATGCGATTATTAAATTTTGAATAACTTTTACTTTTTTTTGGTGGACCAGTAAATGTTCCACACTGATTCCATTTTTATTTTTTCTGTTGAGCTTTGGTTTTTTGCAGACTTTGTTTTGCAGGATACTGTGTCATTTGGTTGAACATTTTAATTATCGTCATTGTAAATTTATCAGCCTATCACGTTTGACCGTGGATGTTTTCATGGCGCACAGATGAATGCCTCTATACAGCGACTATTCACTTTAACTTCACTTCAACAAAATTGTGCATAATTCACAGATGTTACTCCAAATAAATATTTATATATAATATAATAACTCCTGTTATCCTATAATTTTGACCCCCTTCCATCTAACATCCTGACATAGAAAGACACTTTTCAAGATCCAATATATTCCAGACAACATATTTTTCGAAAATATGAAACATTATGGAAGTCCAGTAAAATAAATAAATAAATGCCAGTAGCCATCGAGTCCATTTTGGTTTCGAGTACCTTTTCAAGGATCATATGTAACATTATGGATAAGTATGGATAAAGTATGTAACATTATGGAAGTCCAGGGGAAAAAAAAGGTTATAAACTTGGTTTCATGTTCCAATCTGGAAAACAATTTCTATCAAATGTCTAAGAAATGCTGAACAGATTTTTTTTATTTATTTGTATCTTGCCATCTGGTGGACCGCTGCAATAGAATTAAGCTGTAAATGTAAAATGTAAAACTAAAACCACAATTGCACAACACAGGTATTAAAATGGTCCTACAGAAAAAAAACAAGCACCCTTATGGCAAAAGTCCATCTCAACATTTCCCTGCCTCTAAAAACACACACCGTCATTTTCACAAACCACACTGAGCTCCAGACCAAACACAGACAGGAGTGAAAAAGTGACAAATTGAGTGTGTACAGCGAGCGCTGCTATTATGTGTCTAATGGGGGCAGAAAACGTGCCAGGGCATTTCAGAGGCATCAACTTGAGCTCAGATTTACGCTTCTCTTCCTGTCCGTCATGGTCAGCGATCTCTGGGCCGGCGGTTATAAAAAGACAGATACGTTTCCCACAATCTGGCACTATGGTGAGTGTGTGTCAAACACAGGTGAATTTAGCACTGTGCGTAAACAGGTCAGACATTCATAACATGACATCATCACTTCATTTAATTGTGAATCCCATGGAATCGAATTAAAATATATATTTTTATTCAGAGTGGAAATTTTTGTGGACAGTATGAAACTTTTAAACCATTAAAGCAACTATGTATTTAAAAAAAAATACTGGAGAATAGACTACATTAATTTTTTTCAGAAAGAACCAAGACAGCATGTATGAAAAACACATTAAACACAGCAGTTCTTCTAATTTATCTTCCTGATTTTTTTTAAAGAGAACATATTAACAAAATGCTTATTTTTAGCCATTTATGTGTATAGTACATCAAAAACTTTTTTTTTTATGAGATGGAAAGAAAGAGAGAGTCTTTTACACTTTCAGCACAATTTCCTCTCTATTTCCTCCCTGTAGACCAGCGTCTGCAAAATGTGCAGAGTAGGAATTTCGTGCAGCGGTGGCTGTGAGAGCTGCCAACATGAGGGGAAAAGACAAAGAATGATACAAAGAGAACGAGAAAGACCAACGTGAGAGAGAAAGAGATGCATGACGAATGTTCCCTCTTTCCAAAAAACGAGTGGATGGACTTATAGCAGCAAAACCTCAGTTTTCCTCCTTTGACTCCTTTTCCTGGTGTTCCTGGAAGGCTGGATCGCTCGGTGGAATATGAGCCACACGCAGGGCCACATATGCATCCTGTCCCAGACCTGCCGGCGCGCTGCTGATCCCAGACCAGCGGGGCCGATCCCTCATGAATGCTAGGACTCTGAGTTAAAAGAGCTGACACTGACCGCAGAGCTGTGCCAACCCTCCACCACACATACCTGCAAAGAATTGCCCAGAGTTATATATGAAAATATATATTTTAGGTTACACTAATTTACAGTCTGGAAGGATCGTTGGATTGTCATGATTCTGTGGCAGGACAGCGTGGAGGGAAATGTGCTATTAAGAAATGAGTTATGAAAGAAGAAGTGATTGTTATAGACTCTACAGGCTATAATCAGGTCATTCAATATGAGATTTATTTTAAAAAATAATTAAAAAAAAGTCGACCTTTTTTGTGTCTTTGACTACTATGTACTTACATATAAAATGAGTGCTAGGCAAGGATTAATCGCATCCAAAATAAACGTTTGTGTTTACATAATATGAGTGTGTACTTTGTATAATTATTTTCAATATATAAATACACACACATGCATGTATATATATAAGAACATTTGTATGGATATACTGTATTGAAGAGTTCAGATGCAAAAGCCTCTAAATGCCATTTGAAATTTTCTTCTAAAATGATCATTTTTATCAAGCTTGTATATTTAAGTTTAGTAATTTCACTTAAATGACAATTAATAGGTAATCGTCATTGCCATTTAAGTGAAATTACTGAACTTAAATATACAAGCTTGATAAAAATGATCATTTTAGAAGACAATTTCAAATGGCACTTAGAGGCTTTTGCATCTGAACTCTTCATATCTACATTCACCTAAAGGATTATTAGGAACACCTGTTCAATTTCTCATTGATGAAATTATCTAATCAACCAATCACATGGTAGTTGCTTCAATGCATTTAGGGGTGTGGTCCTGATCAAGACAATCTCCTGAACTCCAAACTGAATGTCAGAATGGGAAAGAAAGGTGATTTAAGCAATTTTGAGTGTGGCATGGTTGTTGGTGTCAGACGGGCCGGTCTGAGTATTTCACAATCTGCTCAGTTACTGGGATTTTCACGCACAACCATTTCTAGGGTTTACAAAGAATGGTGTGAAAAGGGAAAAACATCCAGTATGCAGCAGTCCTGTGGGCGAAAATGCCTTGTTGATGCTAGAGGTCAGAGGAGAATGGGCCGACTGATTCAAGCTGATAGAAGAGCAACTTTGACTGAAATAACCACTCGTTACAACCGAGGTATGCAGCAAAGCATTTGTGAAGCCACAACACACACAACCTGGAGGCGGATGGGCTACAACAGCAGAAGACCCCACCGGGTACCACTCATCTCCACTACAAATAGGAAAAAGAGGCTACAATTTGCAAGAGCTCACCAAAATTGGACAGTTGAAGACTGGAAAAATGTTGCCTGGTCTGATGAGTCTGGATTTCTGTTGAGACATTCAGATGGTAGAGTCAGAATTTGGCGTAAACAGAATGAGAACATGGATCCATCATGCCTTGTTACCACTGTGCAGGCTGGTGGTGGTGCTGTAATGGTGTGGGGGATGTTTTCTTGGCACAGTTTAGGCCCCTTAGTGACAATTGGGCATCATTTAAATGTCACAGCCTACCTGAGCATTGTTTCTTACCATGTTCATCCCTTTATGGCCTCCATGTCCCCATCCTCTGATGGCTACTTCCAGCAGGATAATGCACCATGTCAGAAAGCTTGAATTATTCAAATTGGTTTCTTGAACATGACAATGAGTTGACTGTACTAAAATGGCCCCCACAGTCACCAGATCTCAACCCAATAGAGCATCTTTGGGATGTGGTGGAACGGGAGCTTCGTGCCCTGGATGTGGATCCCACAAATCTCCAACAACTGCAAGATGCTATCCTATCAATATGGGCCAACATTTCTAAAGAATGCTTTCAGCACCTTGCTGAATCAATGTCACATAGAATTAAGGCAGTTCCGATATATAAATAAAATATGGTATACTTAAATTCATTTTTCTTAAATATACATGCATGATTGTATTTTGTTATGGGTAGGTTTCAGGGTGAGTTATGGTGTAAGATAAGGTAGGTACTTCTCGACCATAGGTACACTAGGTACTCAATTTGGTAATAACTGGGTAATAACTACTAACCCTAAACACAAGTAGTTACTTCATATTACCGAGCACTTTCTTAGGTAGTAATTACACTGTAAGTACACATATGTTTACATACTGTAAGATAGTGATCAGCCTCACTTGATAACTTAATGTGTAATTGTTACAGTGTAATTATACATTTAAGTACTGTGTAATAATAATTAACTACATGTACTTACTATAGTGTTAGGGTAGGATTAGGGTTTAGTTGCATGCAATTACACATAATTTACTGTTATTACTGTGGTAATTACATGTAGCATATGTAACAAGGGCACTGTAAAATAAAGTGTCATCATAAAGTGCAACCGGAATTGATTAATTCTGTAAATACTATGCAACTACACTTATTGTGTACATAGTGTAAAAACATGAATAAGTGACAATAAGTGACATGAATGTCACAATAGGTTGCTAGGGCATAAAATAAATGTTTTAACACAAATATTTGCCATGACAATATGTTGTATGTCTGTATGGTAGACAGTGTATTTGGCAAATTCATAGGTGTTTGAATCATTTATAACATAAACTGTAAATGTTATCATATATAGATGTTATTTGAAAATGGCCCCCAATCATAGTAACTGTAACCTCATTAAATGTGTTTCCTTGTGTGGTATGAAACCACTCTTGACGTTTTAACTCAGCACTGAGGACCCGCGAGAAGGCCGTTGGTGACGGGTCATTCCTCGCGTCTGCTGAGGTGTTAGGAAAAACAGTTCTGAAGTGCTTTAAAACTTCTGGCCCTTCCTGGCACACCCAGGAGATAACAAGCCTTTCAAGCGTGTGTGCGTTCGAGTAGTATTCATGAGTGTGTGTGTGTTTGTGTTTGGACTACTTTAAGGTTGTTCACTGACATACTTGGAGCTCAAGGACCTGTTTACCTGCCCTTGTAGTGTGCCCTTAAGATAATGTTATTGTGTGTTAACCTTGACAAACCAATAGACGGCAACCTTGCTCTTGACACATTAGAGAGTGACTGTAATCAATTTCAGTTGTTTGTAAAGGGCAAAGGTTATCATGTTATAAACTCTATTCACTCTTGAGCAGTTTACGATTAGAAAAGCGCAACGCAACACCATTTGTGCGTACCCAATGTTTCATGTGGTACAATACTAAAGGTATCTTACTACAACAAAACAGTATTTTTATTTTCATAATTTTTTTTCCTGACAGTAATCATCTAATTAGTTTTTTTTTTCTGCTATCATGGAATAAACCAAGTGTAAAATATGCAGGGCCGCTTTAAATAGTCTCTTGGAGTGAAGCTTATTTGGTCTTAAACACAGGAAGCTCTGCCTTGTGAGAGTAGGAGAGAACGGCCCCTCTAAACTCCAGGAAATGGGCCTTCAGGACGGCCAATCTTCCCCGGCACAGGGTCACAGGCACTTAACCACTGTCTACTGCTGTCCTGAGGGACAGGGCTCGGATTTATAGGTTCAGGGAAGGAGATTTCACTCTCTCCGAACTAAATAGAATTGTATAACAGTAGTAATGATAATACCAGCAATCATAGTACTTAAAGAAGTAGTTATACACACAATGGTAGAAAGAGCAGTAGTAGTAGTAACAACAGAAGTAGCAATAATAGTGGTGGTGGTAGAAGCAGTGGTAGTAGTTTTAATAACAGCTGTAGTAATTTAACTAATAGTTGTAGTACAAGCAATAGTAATAGTAGTTGAAGTACTAAGAGCAGTTGTAATAAATTAAATAGTTGCAATACCAGAGGCAGGGATAACAGTAGTAAAACTACTAGTAGTAAAAACAGTAGTCATGGTGATCATAATATTGGTAGTAATAATAGTTTTAACAGCAGTATTTGTTATTGAGCAAAAGTTGTAGTAGTGAAAGCAATGGGAGTAATATCGGCAGTAGTTAATTTAACTAAAAGAAAGTCATAGCAATACCTGAGGTAGTAACAATAGTAGTAATACTAGTAGCAGTAAAACAGAAGTAGCAATAACAGGGGTGGTAACAGTAGCTGTAATAGCAGGTTTGTTATTGAACTAATGCAGTGGTAGTAATAACAGTAGTAATAGTAGTTAAAGTAATATTCGTAGTAGTAGAAATAGCAGAGGTAGTCATAACAGTAGTAAGTAGTGATACAAAACAGAAGTAGTAATAGAAATGGATTTAATAATAGTGATAGTTATCAAAGTTTTAATAAAATTAATAGTAAAGGTACAACTGAACAACTAAAGGTATAGCAGTACAAGCAATGGTAGTGACAGTAGAAGTAGTAACAATAGTAGTAGTAAGAGAAGTGGTAGTGAACACAATAGTTATACAAGCAATGGTAGTAATAGTAGTAGTAGTAATAGTTGTGGTAACAGAAGAAGCAGTAAAAGTGAAGTAGTAATAGAGTTGATGGTAATAGTAGGTTTAATAACAGCAGTAGTTGTTATAATTGCACTGGTTATAGCAGTAGTTGCAATACTGTAGTAATTTAGTAATGGTGGTGATAACATACGGTAACACTTTATTTTACAGTGTCCTTGTTAGTTGAATATTAGTAAAAGCAAGTAGACGTAGAAATGGCGGCAGTCTTTATGTTAGGCCTAGTGGTAGTAGCAGTAAATAACAATGGTAGTAATAGTAGTTTTAGTAGTAAATAAAGTGGCAGCAATAACAATATTAGCAAAATTGTTTTTTTTTACCTTTATTTAACCAGGTTTGTCTCATTGAGATATAACATGGTTAAATAAAGGTTAAATAAATAAAAAAACTACTATAGTGTGCACTGTCAATCAGTGTATAGGAAACCACAGCTTTGCATCTTCCTGAAAGAGGATATAGAATCACTTTTGGATTCATATCCCATATAGCAATGATTGATATCTAGCTTTTGCAATTATTGTGGGAGGAAAAAAAAAACAGGTAACTTATTATAGAGGTATCTTCTTTTTATTGTAATTGTATAGACCTAAAGGAGTGGTTCAGGATTTTGGACATCATTTCCAAGTTAGCCTTAATGTTATTTGTCAGTGGAGACAGATTTCAAAAATGTTCATCCAGCCGTTCCAGTTGCATAGTTCGCCGGTGCTAAGCTAGCGCGAGTCAAGGGTAACTGCTAGCCTGCCATAAAAACAGTTTTACCCACTTCACAGTACACCAAAAGCAGATAAGACTATCGACTATCGAAGACTATCGCCAGACTATCGATGTAAATGTCTGTTGAGAGAATAATGTTAAAAATCAAACTACTCTTTCATCACATTGCAATAGTTATACTTTGTTCCCTGTATTTATTAGCACAGTCGACAGCAGACAACCGA